GGAGACCTTGATAGTGTAGGGCCGCCGACTCTTCGTGGAAGGTTTGGGGCTGTTTCTGGAGCTACCGCCAGTGTCAATGGGGCTGGTAGTAATAAAAAAAGGGGTTGGTTTTCTGCTGTAGCGGCGGGAGGGAGTCGGGACGCCTTGACTGTTTCGGGTCTATCCCTTGGCAAAGATGTGCGAATGGGAAGTCCTCCGGCAGCACAAAAAAAACAGGAGGAGAAAAAGTATAGCAATGGATGGTTCGGCAATCGTGATGAAGACGATGATATGGGTGTGGCTACCATCAAGAGGCCGACATCAGCAATGACATCCATACAGAAAACTGATGCCCTGTATCAAAAGTTTAAACAAGATGATGGAGGTGGCGGTGGAGATGGCCCAGATGAGAAACTTGGGCAAGTTGTGACTTTCCAGATTGAAGTTTGCCAACTGGCAGATTCTACGCAACAGGGTAGTAGGCTCAACTTTAAGCGAATCAGTGGATCTGTTGCAATGTTTAAAAAATGTGCAAACAAACTTTTGGGCATGTTATGAATGAGGGTTTCTGCGTTTAATACTCCCTTAAAAATATATTATAAACTCCTATATTCCTTTTGAATCATCCCATGAGTGTCAAGTGGAAGGGTGGCCCAGCCCATGTGAACAAAAATCGCGATATTGAAAAGCTGAAACAAACAAAAAACTTATTTTTGGAACTTTCTCGCAAGATGTCCACAGCAACAGCAAAACCTTCCTCATCAATATCAACTGCGTCTGGCGCAAAAAAGCCAAAGAAAAATCTGGCTATCCATCTTCTTGCGGGGGGTGTGGCTGGATGCTGTGAGGCTCTCACGTGCCACCCCCTCGATACGATCAAAGTTAGACTGCAGCTGAGAGGAGAACGAGCGAGCAAAATGCTTGGATTATCCGGTGCAGCTGCTCAATCAGCTAAAACAAGAGTAAGTATTTAGTTTTTGGCCCTTTTTTAGTGGAATCACTTCAATGACTCAACACTTCACTTCCAGGCAAAAGCAAACTTTGTACAAGTCGGTATGCAAATCGCGCAAAAAGAGGGTTTCTTTTCTCTGTACAAGGGTCTTGGTGCTGTTTTAGGTGGCATTATTCCAAAGATGGCAATTCGTTTCTCCTCGTTTGAATATTACAAAGACTTGCTTGCCGACAAAAAAACAGGAGTTACTTCCTCTGCTGGAATTTTCATGGGTGAGGATTCGTGTAAATTACAGTCTTCCAACTGAAGTGTGGAACTTAAACCTTTGACATTTCTTGAACGCAGCCGGTCTTGGTGCAGGTATCACCGAGTCAATTCTCGTCGTGACTCCGATGGATGTTATCAAGATCCGCCTGCAGGCACAGAGACATTCAATGACCGACCCACTCGATATTCCAAAATACAGAAACGCGCCACACTGTGCATACGTGATGATTAAGGAAGAAGGATTTGCATCCTTGTATAAAGGAGTCGCCCTTACAGCACTTCGTCAATGTAATTGTTTCTCCGACTTTGCATTTCATTTTTTCAGTAATCACAAAACTTACCCTTGCATTACCCAGCTACAAACCAAGCCGCAAACTTTACCGTCTACTCCATCTTGAAAAGTCAGCTCGAATCTGCCCAAGGAAGTGACAAGACTTTACCTGCCTACCAACATTTGCTCATGGGATTCGTCTCTGGAGCTTGCGGCCCCCTCTTTAATGCCCCCATTGATGTCATCAAAACCCGTATCCAAAAGAATCCATCCACAGAAAAGGGGTGGACAAGATTTGTTCAAGTCACGTCCGGGATTTTAAAGAATGAAGGATGGACAGCGTTCTACAAGGGAACTACGCCTCGTGTTCTGAGAGTTGCGCCGGGACAGGCTATTACTTTCATGGTGTATGAGCGTGTTTATAAGTGGATGGTTGATTTTTCGAGAAGTATGTCGATCATCGAGGCGGAAAGAGTTGTAAGTGGCTTATTTTTTGCCAATTTGATATTGACGGCTCTTTCTGTTCTTCACAGGGAATCACTTCTGCTGAAAGCAATGAACAATGAGGACTGGTGTAGACGGTATTTTTATCCGAGGCTTTGGTTGATGAGTGAAGTGTAATAAAACTGTTGGCAAAATCTATGCTATCTCGCCTAACGTCAAGCGCTGTTAAGGACGCAGCACCACGCATGATCGGCAGCAGCATTGCGGCCAACACACAAACCCGGCGGCAGTCGATTGCGCTGCTTTCCACTGCAATCCCGCCACCATCACCATCAACACCAGCCTCATCATCAACAGCATCGCCAACAACGACACCGCCACTGCCAACGCCGCCTGGCTCCGAAGACTGCTGCATGTCCGGGTGCGCCCACTGTGTCTGGGACGTGTACCACGAGCAGGTCGAAGTCTACAACGCCGCTGCGGCAAGCAGCGGTCTTCCGACAATCAATCCCGATGCGATCGATCCAACGGTGGCGGCGTTCAGAGACTTGGAACGGGCGCTGGCCGCAAAGGCGGAGAAGAAAGTAGAAGAAAAATAGACTATTTAATTTTTATTTATTTTGTTTTTAAATCTACCACCCACAACCACGATGAGACTGTTTGGAATCTCAAAGGCAAAAGCAGCGCCAAAAGATGCCATCGTAAAGCTGCGCGAATCACTTGAAATGATCGACAAGCGAGAAAAGTACCTCAACGCAAAGATTGATGCAGAGCTGAAGGTCGCCAAAACAAATGCTACAAAGAACAGGAAAGGTAAAATCAAGAAGGAAGGGACGAGGCGCCGTGTTTTTTATCTGTGGCGGTGGTGGAGGACTCTCGAGTTGCTTTGCTGGAGGTTGGATACCCATCCGCTCTGCAAACCATTTGAGATAACTATGCCGCTTTAGTATTGGCGGAAGATGTGCTATATGATTCCTGTACTGATTTTTCGAATATTCTGCAATCAAGCAAACGTGGGCAATAGTGGCTGCTGGATGGCGAACTTCTGTCCTAAAATACCATCTACTCACACTTACAATCCTTCATCGAATTAGTGGCTCTCATGGCCCTCAAGAAGAAAAAGATTTATCAAGACCAAGCAGACAAACTTATGGGTTCTCGAATGACGTTGGAAACTCAAATGTCGACTTTGGAGAACGCAAGCATGAATATCGAGGTCATGAATGCAATGAAGGCAGGAAATGAAGCATTGAAGGGAGTCCACGGGAATCTGTATGTTTATTCTATTCTTGATTTGGATTCCGTGTCTGTTTCGTGTTAATCTTAGAAAACCATACTTTAGGGACGTTGATAAGGTTGAGGAAACTATGGATGAAATCAACGAGCAAATGGGTCTCGCCAATGAAATCAGCGATGCAATCAGCCGACCTATGCAGGGCGCTGAATTTGACGATGAGGAATTGGACGCGGAACTGGAGCTGCTAGCACAAGAAGAATTGGATAATCACATGCTAGAAACAGGTCTAGGTGCTGGTTTGCCGTCTGTCCCGAGCACGATTCCAGGTACGGGATTATCTTTTTCTATCCCATTGCTTTTTAACGTGCTTTCGATAGCTATCGCACAACCACCGAGACCCACACGCGAGCAAGCTGAAGAAGAAGATCCTGAATTGGCTGAATTGAAGGCTTCCATGGCAATGTAAAGCCCGTCGAGATATCGAGCAAAAACATGATGAAACAGAATACATTATACACTGTCGCTTTGGCTTTAAAAAAACATCCCTCTTAACCGTATTTTGTTTAAAATTCAACAAGTTTATATTGATTTTTTGTTTTCCATCAAACCTTTTAAGTTTTCCAAGTTGACTATAAGGATACTGCAGAGCGTCGATCACTGCCACCTTGACATCTTGGAACAAGTACTCATGTACCTTCCAATCAATAACAAATCTGACGAGTCACAAATTCGTAAAAATAAATGCACGATACTGGGCCGGCATTGATGGTTTAATTTTTCCCAACTGTCACTGGGAGATGTGAATAACGTTCACGTAACGTATCTTTTTTCTTCAATGCATGATTTTAATCTAAAACCAAAGTTTCGAAAAAGGCAACCACCTCCTGGTTCGCCTGATGATGCTCTGTGAAACGAACGAAATAAGTTGCGATTTTGGTCAACACATCCTTGGAGCTGTTGAGTATGATGGATTCAATAATGTGGAGCAACCCTGGCTGTCTGAGAACTAAATTTGCCATAGAGTGGATCAATTCATTCTGTCGTATCCCTCATTACCTCCCTCATTACTAACACTATCTAAGCCCCTATTTATTCCCACTTATTCTCTATCTCACATTATATTATCTGCCTTATCTATCTGTCTGTTATACTTATTTGATTTATTTGTGTGTAAGAATAATAAATTCCCAAAGTTCCAAAGGACGTCATCGTTCACTCCCCTCACTCCTCCTCCATACAATAACAGACACCCCACATTCTTTTTTCGCAAGAAACCCAGACATGCAACTGCCACCACTGTCATGGTACCAATTCTCAAGTTCCTTTCGATCGATAGCGTTATCTCTATTGCCCATGCCTCAAAGTTCAATCTTACTCCACTCCTTCTGGCGAGGCACACTTTTCCAAGAAGCCATGCATCAAAAAACAGATGGTCCCGAAAGACTTTGTCTCGTTGGAATCCACGTTGGCCTATCAAGTACAGAGTTATATTGTACACGCACTTAACCAGCGACGATAAGCGTAAAGAGAACGACTTTATATTCATAGATGATCCCGATCCTATACGGCTTCGTACTTCCTTGATAACAGGATATCCGGATTTCTTACAACAAAACAACCACTTGCATCGCATTTTTTTACTCAAGGCGGTCTTGAAAGACGAAAATTCGTGTGATGGAAATGCTAGGGCTTGAAAGATCCACGTCTTGGTTTTGGAAGTTCCGAGCGGGGAAGTTTTGGATGCGTTTTCCGATCCTCCTGAAACCAGATATTCTGCATCAAGGTGCCAGATAAGAAGCAACATGTTCAGTTGTTTCAAGTCCGAAAATTTTCTCATCGACAAAAGTTTTTGCTCCAGGTGAGGGTTGAACTCACGACCTTCTGCGTGCATACAGCCGTAGAGACCATATAAGACAGACACTCTAACCACTGAGTTACAAGAGCTTACCGTTCTAAGTGGATTTCTAATTTATATTGTTTCAACTGACGACCACAAGCAATCACTATTCTTCCGCCTGTGGATCATAGCCAGTGCAGCGGCCTTGTTGGGCAAGCCGCGCAATATATAGGATGAAAGTGAAGTTCTCTATACAAATACTTTCAACTTCTCTACAGCGTCAACCAAACCAGCCTCAGCCGCTCTTTCAAACAACGACTTTGCCTCCTTCAAATCAGTCTCAACCCCTTCACCGCGCTCATACATGACACCCAAATTGTATTCCGCCTCAGGAAGCCCAGCATCCGCCGCCAATCGAAACCAATTCGCCGCCGCAGCAAGATCCATGTCCACCCCACCACGACCATGAAGACAATAAACGCCATAGTTAAACTGAGCAATCACCTTCCGATCCGTCTCCAACAACGCTTCAATCATTTCGCGAGCAAGGTTCCAACCCGTCAAATCGTTCTCTCGGTTTGCTAGGACAGCCACTTTGGCGATTCCTTCAGGCATGTTTTGACTGCAACATTCGAAATACAAGTTCAGCATGATATCGTGGTTACTAGGTTCCGAGAAGTCTTGTTTTTCTGATTCAGGGTGTTGTTGTTGTTGTAGGTTGTGATCCTCGTGCAACTGTTCTACCATAAAGGCACGACACGACGGTGAAACCAAACCGTACTCAAACAAGGCCGCCAGCACGAACGTGGCCTCCAAAGACCCGGCTCTTGAACTCTCCATTGTAAATCGGAACCGGTTTTCAATGTCTTCCGCCCGTGTTTTCGAATTCACATCTATTGTCCCGAAAAGCAAAGGCTCATTGGGGGACACTTCAAAAGCCTGACGGAGCAATGTTTTGTGCGTTGGTACTGACGTCCAGATGAGATCCAGGTAACCTGTTGCTGGTTTGTAAGTCTCCAAGTGTTCGCCGCGATCGGTGAGAGCGGCTAGAGTCCGCAAGGCCAGTGAGTTCTCTGGCGCTGCTGCTGTAAAGTAAGCGATTCCCTTTTGATGTTGTCCTAGGGAGCGGTAGTAAAACCCCAATCGAGTCAGTGCCGATGCATTGTTTGTTTTCCCAGCTGCAGCCGCCTCGTAGTACTGTACCGCGCGCGGCATATTCATTGCGGATTCATGAATCAAACCCAAGTAGAAGTTGGAGAGTGTATGGCCTTGCCGCACCGCCTCTTCAAAGTAGTCGATCGCGGCAGCAATGTTCTGATCAACACCGCGTCCATGCAGATGCATCAACCCGAGACCAAACGACCCAAACTTGGATTGATTCTTGAATTTTCCTGTGGCGCCCAACTGGAGCAACTCGAGTGCCTGTTGGTGGTGGCCATCGGCGTTTGCGAGGCGGGTAATGGCCAAGCGAAAGACGTCTTCAGTGCCGCTGTTTTGGTCATTCCGGGCTGATAACTGCTTGAGCATGTGGTACGCTGTGGTGAATTTGGATCCGTCTTCCATCATCAGGTATTGGGCGGCAGAGTTCTGGATGTCGACAGTGCGAAAGTGGGCATTCTTGTCCAGGGGCTGACTTGCAGTAGCTAATGGACGGACTTTGGAGAGGCGCTTGATGCTGCGGCAGGCGGATCCAAGGGCTTGGCGCGGCAATGTGATCCAAGCCGTTATCATTTTTATTGGTTTGTTTCTTTGATGAATTGAGGTTTCCCCAATATAGCTCTACAACTTGGAGAAGATATGCTCAAAAACTATTTTCATATGTAATGGAACTTCGAAGAGAAAAAATGAACGGAGATCGTCCCCTCCCTCCCCCTCTTTTTTTTTTTTTGAACAAGATTTCCAACAGATGGACACCCCCACCACGGACGACGACAGCAGCATACAACAAAAGCTCGTAATAGCCTACGCGTCCATGGCCGGAATAACCCTCCTCCAATGGTGTTTCTACTTTTACTTTATAATCCACCACGAGATAAAAGGCCGAACCCGAAAGTTTGCATGGACCAAAGTCTTTACACCCTTGAATATCCCACTCGTTCTCGGAACAAGCGCGCTCATGGGAGTTTATATTACACGAGCAGTGAATCTCTCGTACAGTCTCTCCGTGGATTGGGGCGTGCTCTTCACCCTGGAGGAACTGTTGCAATCCAGTGTCATTTGGAGTTACATTTTTTACAGTTGGAGACGATCAGGGAAACTCTTGCGCAGCGTATTCTCCCCGATCGTATACAAATCAATGTACTACATGGTATCCATCAGCCCCATTGTATTCTACCTCCCCGTCGTCCCCGCGCTCTGGCGAATGATTGGACCCGACCCGACCCAGGGACAACTCGCAAGTCTCGAGTTTAGTTTATATTCCAATATTCTGATGGGTTCCACGTGTGCATTGTTGGATCTCGTTTTTGTTGTTGCGTTTATAAAAAACTTGTTGTTGAGTTTCTTGCAAGGAGATGAAGTGAATCGAGAGTTTTTGATTGTGAGTGTGCATGGCGCGGTTGCGTGTCTCTTGTGTTTTTTGACGGTGGGCGTGTATGCTGTGAGTGGGGTGGTGGAGTCGCGTGGGATGAAGGCGGTGGTGGTTTGTGCGAGTCAGGGGCTGTTTAATCTGGTTTCTGTGGCTTTGTTTTCAATGAAGGTTTGTTTTTTTTTTTCGACTACTAATAAGGGGGAGGTCTCGTGTAGAATAATTAATTAACCTAAAACTTTCTTTTTTCAACACCCCATCAAAAAAGTTTTCTCTATACAAGCAAAAAGTGTTTGAAGAAACAATCCACGACCCCGTTGAACAAATGATGCGTAGCAAAAGCGTCAAGGAAGATCTCGGCCTCACAACAGCAGCAACAGACATGCCACCGCCTGCTATCCCATCCCGCCGCGAATCAAATAACCAAGTCGTCTCCATGACTGTTCAAGAAACATTGAAAAATTTCCACCCGTTACGAGAAACTAATTCTACACGCGTTATTAGCACTGGCGGTGGCGGTGGTGGGGGTGTGGCTGGGGCTCCTGGGGCGCGAGATAGTCTATGTAAAACGAGGGAAAGCTTGAAACGGGATAGCTCAAGCGGGAAAAGCGGGAAAGGGTCCAAAGAAATCACCAAACCTGGAACAAGAGACAGTGTCCACGCGACGCGAGAAAGCTTACGGAAAGGTCTCGGGTATGACCGAGACAGCGTGCTGGGAAGCGGGGCAGAGCTGAAAAGCTTGCGGAGTATCCAAGCAATGAGTCTGAGAAGTGTGCACAATAGCGCAAAGAGTGGGACTACTACTCCGAGAGACAGTTTGAGAAAGGAACGGCGGGAAGAGGCTCCAGGGGTGCCTGACATTCCAAAAGATCTTGGGGCTCGAATGAGTGGTGTTGGGGAATTGCATATCACCGTGTCTGTGGCTGGGTCAAATTTGTCTCGTGAACGAAGTCAGAGGAAGGGGTCGCCGAAACCGGTGCGAAAAGAGAAGGAAAAAGACAGCAGCACTAGCACTGTTGATATTGTCACGTCGATTGATCCTAAACATCCTGAAGATATAGTGTAGATTTATCTGAGAATAAATGGAAAGAATGGAAGGAACGAAACGCCTCCATAAAAAAAAAAAGTACCCCTCTCGAGTTTTCCCAAACGCGTCACGCTTAACCACTTTCATCTCAGAGCACGTTTCTGTTATCTAAGCAAAGAATGGTTTGTCTCGACGTGGTTGAAAGTGATGCACTAAAAAATTCCTTTCAGATACTCTCAACTTTCATCCAACGGCTAACCGAGCTACGCGAAGGCCTTGACCAGCAACTTCGAGAGCTAGGAGAAGCATCCCCCGAGAATCTTTTGTATTATGAATGTTTCCATCGGTTAGCATCAGCAGCACCAACAATGACGCCATTGTTGAATACTGCAGACACACTACAACCGAAGCGCGCACTACTACAACAAGAAAGTTCAGTATATGGTGATCGAATACGGCAACACTTTGCCCTCTGGAACACAATCAAGAAACTCTGCCTCAAAGCCGGACACCACAACATCCAACTCCCCGCAGACCTGCAAACATCTCTAGGCCTGATTTCATCCTTCAGTCCTGAATTCCAAGAAACATTCTCAGCCGACCGGTTATTCGGTAAACACCAAAGCGTAAGGCTTTTTACACAACTGGAAACAAACTACGCGTCCACGATTGTTTACCCCAAATTCCCTATTGGAATCAACACGTTTTTGAAGCTGGAAGGCGATTTATCTCCACGCGAGAGAAAAGAGATTGTTGCAAGAATGTACTTGTATCTTCCGGCAATCTATTCGCTTGGATTGACGAGGCAGCTTCAGGATAAGAATGTTCATTGGAAACAAGCGTTTCGATCTAATGGATTTGATGTTGATGTCGAGCGATGTGGGCGATATTTTAACTGGTTCCGGCCTTTGGCTGTTGATGAGAGTCGTGGTGGAGAATCGGCGGCGGTCAACAAGAGCACCTGTCATGCTTGTGGGAAACCTGGAATCGTGATCCACCCACGAACAGGGCTCTCAACTTGTCAAGTCAATAAAGTCGGGAACGTGGACTGCCCGTTGATTCATAGCGTTGCCTTGACTCTCAACAACAAGAGTTCGTGTCCTGATACGAAACTAGCAATTTCAAGAGCTCGGAAGTCGCAAATTGATTTGTTGCCGAAAGATAAGAAGCAGAAACGAATTGATGATTTGATATTGGCGAATCGTGAATGGCGGCAAGCACAAGCACCCGAAGCTTCGCCAAACTCGAAAGCAAAAAAGTCACAATCTGTGCTTTGAATATAATCTATCATCTATGCCATGTTACAGTTTGAAGTTTTTGGTCTTTTATTGAAAACAATAATGAATTTGACAGCTGCGGCAATAGAAAGCGACGCCCACTTTACAAAGAGCCGAATGGCAGGCCCCGTTCGAGCAGCAATGCACGAGTCGCTGAATAGTCTCCTGACTGGTCTCGATCCAGAGACGACTGCAGTGTTGCTCAGGTAAGAACTCTCAAGAGTCAAAGAAAAACACAAAAAAAGCAACTAATAGTTAACTGCAGTGGCGGCCTCG